GCAGAGCAGCAGCCTGCAGTCAACACAGCACTGCAGTGCCAGATCACAACCTGTGACAGATATCCTACCCTAGGGGAGGAGAGAGAAGAGAGGACACATGGCCTGACTGTTGTGTTCCCTCTAAGCTGAGTTAGTGTGAGCTAGCTCACAGTTTTTTTTCGACTCACACATTTTTGTCTTTGCTCAGGAAGGGATGGCTCCAGAGCAAACTAATCTATGCGGTAGTCCAATCGCTCGCTCACAACTCTAATGCCGGCAGTTCACATGGTAAGACTTTTTGCTCACGAGACTCCACAGCTTAGAGCAGAGGTGTCGAACTCATTTGTTACGAGGGCCGGATCTGACATAAATGTCACTTTGTCGGGCCGGGCCATGCCATGCGTGCCATAAAACGTAATGCCAGGTACCGGAGATAGAAACTGTATAAAGGACAGCAGCTGGTAAGCTATGAGTTGGGTCTGGGGGGCAAGGGGGCAGAGGAAAGCCCACATGGGCAGACTGGAGAGCCAGCCGTGAAACACTGGGCAGACATTCCTACGCTGTTTGACTGCTGCAGACAAGGTTGTTCCGCCGTGCTGAAGCCACAACTGGAGTGGCTCCGCCTTGACTGGGAGGGCGGGGTAGAAATTTAAGAAGAAGAAGAGATTGGATTTATACCCCGCCCTTCACTACCCCAAAGGTGTCTCAGAGCAGCTTACAAACTCCTTTCCCTTCCCCTCCCCACAACAGACACCCTGTCAGGTCGGTGGGGCTGAGAAAGCTCGACAGAAACCGCTCCATTTTCAAGGACAGCTCTGATCAGAACTTCGGCTTGCCCAAGGTCATCCAGCCAGGTGCAAGCGGAGGAGTGGGGGAATCAAATCGGTTCTCCCAGATTAGAGTCCGCGCACTTAACCACTACACCCAACTGGCTCTCAGTCATGCCCCCCCCCCAGCAGTCTCCTGTTCCCTCCCTTGCACTAGTTGCTTGCGGGTCTCATAAGAGCGCTGGACGGGCCAGTTCCGGCCCCCGGGCCTTATGTTTAACACCCCTGGCTTAGAGGAAGCACTCGACCCGAGTAATGGGACACAGGCCTCATAAGATGCCAGAGCTCCAAGAACCACCGCTGGTCTAATGACGAACTTAACACCTCTGCTACATGACTTCTCGAGAACATTCCAGTCAGAGCTGGCCCCCTATATTTAAGAGGAGTTCTCAAGAGACAGGCTCATCCTTTCTTCACCACACCATCGAACGGCAAGTGGCACATGCAAATGCAGAATCACCAGTCATCAGACGAAAAGACATTAAGGGTTAACTAATGGCACCTGAAACGCAATCCATTTCCAACAGACCATTTCCATGCCTGACTGGGAGCCCTCGAGCGTTGCTTAATCATTCCTCGTGAAATTGGATGGGCTTGCGTGTACAAACTAGCCCTAAGTGGCCAGCTCCCCAGGGGCATTGTCAGCAGTACAATAAGTATATATAAAAAAAAAACCTAGTTACCGTTTCCTGTTTTGTGCAGTTCCTACCTCAGAAACGGTGCAATTCAGGACTGTGTTCCCTCTCACGCACATCGAACTCAAATTACAGACAAGACTTCGGACAGATTTTTTTTTAGATACAGCAACAAAATCTTCCTAGAGATTACGAAGATTCCTGCGCGAAAGGCTTTCTTAAACGTACTACCCTGATTTTCAAGAAATAAGTATAACGAAGTATAACATGACTACTGCTTAAAATCCTGACCCTTCCCAAAATAAAGCTGCGGAATTCATCAATAAAACTGAACATCACATTTGTAGCATTTAAGTGTATTCACTTATAACATGCCCTGTATTTATATGGGAAAAGACCTATTAACAAATGAAATAATTCAGTTTTTCAACTGAGAGGACGTTGTTGTTCAGTCGCACAGTCAAATCCGACTCTTCGCTACCCCATGGACCACATCACGCCAGGCCCTCATGAGAGGATGACATACTAGAAAATGTTAGTTCATGAAGCTGGGTATACTCTTCAAGCTTTAACTTTGATCCTTGAAAATACTCCTTTAGAGTTCAGAAGCAATTCACAAAGCGGACAGATCTTTAAAACATTTGAGTATTTTGGTCAGCTGGGCAAACCTATTTAGAACATTGCTGCAGGTTTATGCATAAGGTAAGCTGCAAGAACGTTAATGGAGAGGGGCTGTGGCTCAGGGGTAGAGCTTCTGCTTGGCATGCAGAAGGGTCCCAGATTCAATCCCCAGTATCTCCAGCTAAAAAGGACCAGGTAGTAGGTGATGTGAGAGACCCTAGAGAAGGGTTGTAGAACTCATTTGTTACGAGGGCCGGATCTGACATAAATGAGACCTTGTTGGGCCGTGCCATGTATGTCATAAAATGTAATGCCAGGTAGCGCAGATATAAACTTTATAAAGGACACAAACACAAAGGTGGGGTTTTTTAAACTTAAAATAAAAACATGCTTAAAACATTAGCTCTGTAAGCTGCAAACCTACTTTTGATTTATTGACATCCCCCACAGAAATCTCATCCTCAGAGTTCTGAGCCTAGGACCCAGGTTAAAACATGAAATGGCTGAGTGATTGAGAGAGTCTGGCGAAGCAAGCTACGATGCAGCAGCAGCAGCAGCAGAACTGGAAGCAGGAGATGGCCAGTTTCACTGCGTGCCTGATTGAAGCCCTCCGGGGGCCTTATCCGGCCCCCGGGCCACATGTTTGACACCCCTGCCTTAGAGAGTGGCTGCCAGTCTAAGTGGACAATAGTGAACTTGACGGACCAATGTTCTGATTCAGTACAAGGCTGCTTCATGTACATGTACACCTTGAGATTGGCTTTAGAACTAGATTACAGCAGAGCGGCAATCGTCAGGCTGAAATGCCTCTCCAAACCACAACCTTCCATTTTATCTTACTCTCACAGCTACTTGCATGGATCTCCACACCTTTCCCTTTGTGCAAGAGGAGGAGGAGATTGGATTTATACCCCGCCCTTCACTACCCAAAGGTGTATCAGAGTGGCTTACAAACTCCTTTCCCTTCCCCTCCCCACACCCTGTGAGGTAGGTGGAGCTGAAAGAGCTCTTGACAGAAACTGCTCTTTTTGAAGAACTGCTCTGACAGAACTATGGCTTGCCCAAGGTCATCCAGCCAGGTGCAAGTGGAGGAGTGGGGAATCAAACCCAGTTCTCCCAGGTTAGAGTCCGCGCACTTAACCACTACACTAAACTGGCTCTCAAATGCAAGAACCTGCTGTCGCACCTACCTTGGGCTTTCTCAACTACAGTCACTTAAGACTGCAGTCGTAGGCACGTTCGCTCGCAATTAAACATGGCATGGAATCACACGGCAGGTATCCATTTCTACATGTTTACACAGGCACTGCTAAAAAAATGAGTTTTATTAACTTCTGACAGCAAGATCCACTCAATGGGTTTCTTTCTTTTGCATCCCTTTCTGTTCTCTCCATCTCAAAATCCTGACGCTTTTCACTCGGCATTATTCCTATTTTTAAATCTCTTTCACCTCTCATAAGAACATACGAGAAGCCCATGTTGGGTCAGGCCAGTGGCCCATCCAGTCCAAAACTCTGTGTCACAGTGGCCAAAAACACCAGGTGCCATCAGGAGGTCCAGCAGTGGGACCAGAACTCCAGAAGCCCCCCCCCCACTGTTGCACCCCCAAGCACCAAGAAGACAGAGCATCACTTGCCCCAGACCAAGAGTTCCTATCTATACCTTGTGGCTAATAGCCACTGATGGACCTCTGCTCCAGATATTTATCCAATTCCCTCTTGAAGCTGTCCATGCTTGTAGCTTCGAGTTTCAAGTTGTTGAACACATGAAGCCGCCATATACTGAATCAGACCATTGGCCGATCCAGTCCAACACTCTGTCTCACACAGTGGCCAAAAATACCAGGTGCCATCAGTAGGTCCAGCAGTGGGGCCAGGACACTAGAAGCCCTCCCACTGTTGACCCCCCCCCCTCAAAGCACCAAGAATACAGATCATCACTTGCCCCAGACCAAGAGTTCCTATCTATACCTTGTGGCTAATAGCCACTGATGGACCGCTGCTCCAGATGTTTATTCAATTCCCTCTTGAAGCCGTCCATGCTTGTAGCTTCCACCTCCTCCTGTGGCAGTGAATTCCACGTGTTAGTATTGTTTAGTCAGACTAGCAGTGGCTCTTGCGTAAAGCTCTTTCACATCACCTACTACCAGATCCTTCTAGCTGGAGATGCCGGGGACTGACTCTGGGACCTTTTGCATGGCCAGAAAGATGCTCTGCCATTGACCTTCAGCCCCTCCTGTTGTTTAAATAACTTACCCTAATATATTTTTTGTTGCCATGAACACTCTATGATCCTTAAAACAGCATTCCATATAACTGTGTACATGTAATCAAGCTAAAGAAAAGGAATGTGGAAATCAAAGCTTTTCTTGAATCTAGCTAAAGATTGAGTTCTATTTCAGCTAACAAGAAGTCCCCAACACCCTCCCTTCCATCAGGAAACATCCTTGAGACACTTTTCAGAAGCTGCTAGAGGAAGTAAGATTTCCAGAAACAGGAATTTGGTTACCCATTGTTCTCTTACATTCAATCATAACAGGAGAGCTGCACTGTATAATTGCTTTATTTTCTGCTTATTAGTTCTTTTTACCAACACTACAACCATATTGCGAACACAAAAAAAAAATCCTGCTTACTTTATTCAGGGAGATCACAGTCTACAGACTCATTCACTTATCAGACAAAGTTAACGCCATTCAAAAATGTATTCAGTTGCACTTTATAAGAGTCACATGAACATAGGAACTCGGATGTAGTGAATCATTTTTTTTTTTTAAGAACTGGAAATCTTACAAATTGCATTTAATCTTGCAGGATGTGGAGAAATGTCTAAAGGCATTGTTTTGATGGCTAAGTGGAGCCAGAATGACAAACCCTGGTTCTTTTTAAAAGGACATTTAAAACGAAACCCTTTCATCATTTTTGCTCAGTAGAAAAAAGTTATTCGGTGCCTTTGCCACACATTCCACTCAAGTTCACGATTTTCACCCAAACTGGAGCCTTTAAAAAAAATTCTTTTTACCCACAAAACTGATATACCCAGGAATTTTTTCTGTTTGTTAAAAAAAAAAAGAACTACAGTTATGAATTCCACTTAACACAGAAGTTGTATGATGATTTGACTCTGCCCCGGGTTTATTGAAAAGGATACAATGAATTCAACACCAAAGGTAAAACCAGCCATGTTTTCACTGCAATTAAGATTTACAACAAAGTTTGAGAACCATTAACAGATCTTCAAGTTTTCCAGTTTAGGCAACTACTTTGTGCTTGGCTTTAGTTATTCCAGAAGAAAACGGTTAACTGCTTACAGACTTTTTTTTTTTTTTGTATCACCACTCTTTTATCAATGTTGCCCGGAAAGAAGAATTAGCTTTTGAACACAGCTAGAATGTAGCAATTTAGTTCATTTCTTTTTTTTTCAGACTTTTTTTTAACTTTAGTAGAGCTATTTCTGAAAGACTGTTGTATTTCTTATTATTAATTTAATTCTGTTGCTCTGATTCTAATTTTAAGTAAACATTCCCATTGGATGTAGGAAATTAAAGAAAGGTATAGGAGCTACTGTATAAGCATATTCAGAACCAGAGCCCGGGTTATTTTTCTGTTACGCAATGCTAAGAATTCAGTTTTGAGAAGTGAATCCTTCACTACTTTTACCCCTGTTAAACATCTTTGGTACAAGCTCTAGAGTCGACAATTTTAACAGCAAAATCAACACTGTAGAAGTGTAGCGTAATGCCCCAATTTTAAACTTATACCCTTTAGAAAAAAGCAATTTTCTTCTGGTTTTGTAGCAATACATTCCTAAAATTCCTCAGACGAGTTTTACTCCTTGAGGAAATCTGAAAATAATCCTTAAGGCTGAATAAGAACCAGCTGCTTTACATTTATGCACCCAGTATTAATACTTGATTGAAACCATTCTTACGCTAACCTGAATTCACAATCATTTCCCCACCCGACCACGTAACAACTAAAAATCAGACATATGCGAAAGCTGCGATATGGCAAAAGAAAATGCCTGCCCTTTAAGAACGAAACCTGGAAGTTTACATTCATAGTCGTTTGCTCACTCTCCGTTTCACACTCATGAACTACTCTTCTGAAGGGCTTTATGAAATTAACAGTACAATCCTACGCAGTTGCTCCAATCTGAGCCCATCCATCTCGACGGGTTTTAGAATGGAGTTACTCCGCATAGGACTGTGTGGTTAAGGAGCCCAACACAGATCGAATAAAGTACTAGCAGAGCAGAAGCCCAGAACTTGGCTGTTAACTACCTGAACGAATAGTTTTGCAGGAAGTGAAAGAGATGGGAGTTTCCAGACACCAGTGCCTCAGCTACTTCGTCTAAGTTAATGGCATCTGCAAAACGAGATCATCACACCCCTTTGCTTTCATTCTGATGACGCTGCAATACGTTCAAAGAAGGATAGATTCAAATCATGATATAGGAGCAGACACAGTTCCCAACACCATTAAAGCTGTGTCTTAGAAGCAAAAAACCCCAAACCCTAAAATATTCTACTTAAGTTCTCAGAAGCTTTCGGACCAATTATGATACTGCCGTTTTGATCTCAATTGTTAAGACAGGAATAGTTTTAACATTCAAGTTGACTACAGGCTTTATGTGTGTTTGCTTTTTTGTTGTTGTTTTTTTAGAAAAACCTTCACACGTCCCACAGTGATGCTTACAAATTATTGCTGTGTCTTACGGAAATAAAACATTTTTGCACCAAGAGTAATGTAACTACTTAATATGGCAGCTGAAAAATTAACCTTACGATATAAAATACAGGAACTACAGGCTTGACAGCAGTCTTGAATCATCCTGCATATGGTTGCTATTTAGAATGGAACCTTATTTGCACCCTTATTCATGCATGGTACTTGGTTCATAACTCTCTACAGCTAACATTTTGTCATGGTTCTTGCATTCATCAATGTCAGGCCTAGTAAATACCAGGCCCGATAAGAAACCACACCTTTATCCCAAATGGTATCTTTCTAACTATCCATTACCAGATAAACGAGATCAATATTTTAATTCTCTTCTTAATTACAAGTAAACTTTTGCCATAAAGAGAACAGAATGCAGTTTGTTCATAAACAATGGTTTGCAGTTTACTAGATAACAGAAACCTAATAACATATTCCGCAAGGACGCAAAAAGAAGCAAATCTACAGCCAATGATAATGGAGGGTGGGGGTGGGAAGTAGAATAAGAAAGCATGTATTAAAAAAAGTGACATCTCAGCCCCTGGACTCAAACAAATTAAGTCAAACGAACGGGACAAGGGCTCTCTCAAGAGAGGAAAAAGGGCTATAACCTGCGTCCTCTCTCTCCCTGCTGGAAGTCTGCCACAGAAACTAGTGCTTGTGGGCATTCACAGTTGAAGACTAGAGCATCTTAACACCAAGCAAGAATCGTATTAAACTGGAGGTCCAGTCAAGTGTGCAGAAGAAGAGGGCGGTAACTGGAGAAAAAGTGAGCAACCATCATAATCCTACGGATGCTTAATTTCTGAACATTTTAGTATGAAGAATTCTTTTCTGTGAAGCCACACAGTATTCATTTCCCCCCCCCCCGAACTCTCTCGAAGACTAATAATAGTGTTTTGTTTAAGTAATCATTAGGATTTATAGTTAGATGTTAACCAAGTCAGCCCTTCGTAGAGTCCGTCGCCCGAGGTGGCGCAGGACGGCTGAACGTACCAATTCCTATCCCTGATCCGCGTCAGGCCCAACTTTTCTTGGATCTCGTGCGGCTTCATGGCATCGGGGAGGTCCTGCTTGTTGGCGAAGATGAGGATGATGGCCTCCCGCATCTCCCGGTCGTTGATGATGCGGTGCAGCTCCTGCCGGGCCTCGTCAATGCGGTCCCTATCCGCGCAGTCCACCACAAAGATCAGGCCCTGGGTGCCCGTGTAGTAGTGCCGCCAGAGCGGCCGGATCTTGTCCTGGCCCCCGACGTCCCAGACGTTGAACTTGACGTTCTTGTACGTCACCGTCTCCACGTTGAAGCCCACGGTGGGGATGGTGGTGACCGCCTGGCCCAGCTTCAGTTTGTAGAGGATGGTGGTCTTGCCCGCCGCATCCAGGCCCAGCATCAGGATCCGCATCTCCTTGTTGCCGAAGATCTTGGACAGCACCTTGCCCATGATGGCGGCCGGGGAGGCGCAGGCATCCACGGGAGGGCAACGGGAAAGGGGCGGGCGGGGTGGTCCGACAACAGCAGAAGACGCCCCCCCCCTCAGAGATCACCACTTTGGAGGGCAGAAGAATACAAGTCTTGGGAGGTCAGGCCCGGCCAAGGAACCTCTGAGCCCCCCAAAAGGGCAGGAAAGGGCCGGAAGCGCCACCAGCCCTCCCCTCCAGGAGCCAGCGAGGGTCGTTCCAAGATGGGGGCCCCCACTGGGGGGGGTGTGACACAACAGCGGCCCCGAGGAGACAGCGGGGGGGAGGTGGACCAGCCCAGGAATGGCCCCAGGGGGACCAGGGGCGTGGCCTGTCGGGAGGGCGTGGCCTCCGAAGGGCGGGGCGGGAGGTCTCGGCGCCCGTCGGGCCCTAGCGCCCCCCGTCTTCTCCGCGCGGCTTCCGACGAGTCTCCCAGGCGACGAAAAAAAAACCGGGGGGGGGGGGGGAGAACCGGTTGGCCAGCCCCCCCCCCCACGCCTCAGTTCGCTTCCTCCCACCCGCCCGGAGTTACCTAGTTTCGCGCCGGCTCTGCTCCTCGCCCCTCCGCGGGGCTCTCCAGGGGCGGCCTCCCCACCGGCCCGCCTCGCGTCTTCCCCTCACAAAACTCCCCGGCTGGCTCACGGCGGCGGCCGGCAGCAGGGCGCATGCGCGGCCAACTCGCCTGACGGGCTCCTGCGAAAGAGGCACCGCCCCACCCGCGGAGGGAGGGAGCGAGTTTGGGACGCACGCGCGCCGCTTCCCCTCCTGGGCGACGGCGACTGCGCAGTGCGGGGCGGCCCGATGTCGCGCATGCGTAGTGGATGACACCCGCACGCCCACCTCCGGAGAGCTCCGCCTGTCTGCCACGCTCTCCTCCGGCTCACAATCGCTGGCTTTTCCATAGGCATGCGCAAGGAACCTCCGCGCGTCCGGCTGAGGCCGACTGCGCAAGTGCGAGACGAAAGTTCCCCCCCTCTTCGTACATGCGCGGGGCAGCTTAGCTAAAGCGCACGCGCGCCGCTCGCTAAGGCGCCTTTGCGCAGCTTCAGTGCCAACCCATCCCGGAAGAGCAGAGGGGCCTCCGGGTAGAATTTACCTCAATTGCCCGGAAAGAGAGCGCATGCGTAGTGGCGTCTTCACCTAACGTGGCCTCGCGGTAGCGCGCATGCTCTTTGCAGTGCCTATGTCGGCGTAGGGTTCTAACTGCGCACGCGTGCAGAGGCGAGGCACACTCTTATGAGGAGATCCCGCGTGATTGACGTCATTAAATGCGTAGGCATCCGTAGGTTTCTCTTAAAGGGCCTGGAAAAAATGGGAAGGGATAATACCGTAATTTTATTAATTGGATTTACCTGTTAAAGTTTAATTACCCAAAATGAACAGATAGATGTAAGCGGTTCTGTTTTTCCAGGGAGGGTTTCTCCCCGGAAAAAAAGCATGACAAGCTTTCCTCCTCCGATTTGCAGCTGCTCTCCTGCAAAGCTTATCTGGCTTATCCTAAACTTCAGACGAGTGCTTGCTTGGTTTGAGGGCTTTAATTGGCACTGGTTACCAACCTCCAGGTGAGGCCTGGGGATCTCCTAGAATTGCAACTGCTTTCCAGACACGAGTCCTGCTGGATCAGACCAGTGGTCCATCTAGTCCAGCATCCTGTCACACAGGGGCCAACCAGTTCCTCTGGAGGGCCAGTCAAGAGGGCAGAGAGGCCGAGGCCTTCCCCTGATGCTTCCTCCTGGTTCTGGGATTCAGAGGTTAAGTGCCTCTGAATGTGGAGGTTCCCCTCGGTCACCATGGTGATGCCAACCATCAATAGACTTATCCTCCATGAATCTACCTAATCCCCTTTTAAAGCTGTTTATTCCTGTGGCCATCGCTACATCCCCTGGCAGTGAATTCCACATTTTAATTGCTCCCCATGTAAGGTGAACTCTATGGCATTATATCCTGCTGAGCTTCTGCCCACCCCACTGTCTACCCCCATCATCTCCAGGAATTTCCTTACCCGGAGTTGGCAACCCAGATCTGGGGGGACTAACGGGATTATATCCCTGACTGTGGAGTGGACTGGGACAAGTTGAGCCAAGCAGACCCCGTGTTGTTTGCTCAAGATGCCTATTAAATACTGGGCAGACCCCGTGTTGTTTGCTCAAGATGCCTATTAAATACTGGGCTCAAGACGCATTGCAGTGAACGGCTCTGCTTTATTAAGTGATTTCGTGAACAAGACTAGAAACCTCAGGACAACAGTCCTGTTTAAATAGCATGCAAATACCACACCCAAACACACCCAGTTCCCAACTATAGGCTATTTACATAACTTTAGTTTCTCATTGGCCTCCTCCAGAGTCCTGGTGGGCTATTGTTCTAGAGCTTCAAGCTCAGCCAGTCTCTGGTAGACAGTCCTGGAATGTTCCAGCCCTAATACATAACACCACCTTTACCTTCTTTTGCCCTTCCACTGAGAATTTACCCTTGAAAGACTCATGGCATTGTACCCCACTGAGGTCCGTCTCCCCCCTCCAAGCCTCTCTGCCTCAGCGCGCCCCCCCCCCCCCGCGGCGCGGGTAATCTTCTGCAAAATCAAGATTATTCTCTCCTTGTTCCTATCCTCCTGTTCCATTGGGATGCCAAGAGTGAGGGGGAATCCATCTCTTTGTGCATGAAAAGAGGATCTCTAGATTAAAGCAAGAAATTATGACAAATGCAACTGGCGTGGTTACGCTTGACTTTCTGGATACACCTGAAACGCATTGACCAAAGCTTCAAGAGCCCCTCACCCCTTTAGACCTAAATTAGGATTTGGGTTTCTTGATTTGCCCCCTATAATCGCAGTTCTTGGATGATGCAGCCACAACCCCAGGGAGGGCCGTTTGCCTATATACTCACCTATCATTGAATCACAGAGTTGGAAGGGGGCATACAGGCCATCTACTTCAACCCTCTGCTCAATGCAGAACCAGCCTAGAGTGGGGTGTCAAACATGCGGCCCGGGGGCTGGATTAGGCCCCCGGAGGGCTTCTATCAAACTCGAAGTGGAACCAGTTGTCTTCTGCTTTTTCTTCCAGTTCTGCTGCTGCTGCGTCATCGTAGGTTTGCAGCTTACAGATACACACCTGAACAGCATACTCAAGATGGCAACAGCACAGAAATTTTGATCCAATAATTCAGAGCAACAGGTGTCAGTGATCAGACACGGTTAAGTAAACAAAATATTTTAAGAGTCCTAATGTTTTAAGCAGGGGTCATTTCGTAGAAAAAGAGGTGCAGGAGCTCATTAGCATGACTCATTACCATAACTTATTTGCATACGCCACACCCCCTGACATCACCGGAAGTGTGTCAGAAGGCAACAGCCACCGCTCAGGCTGCACTGGACTCTTTTGGATTGCTAGCTTTTGGGGGGGTGGGGAACGTGCAGATCTGTCCTGGCAGAGGAGGGAGAGCTTGTACCTGAATAAAACTTGGTCTTAAAGGTGCCACTGGACTGTTTTGGACCAGGGGACCGGGGGAGGGGGCTCTGCAGCTTACCTGGCTGCTCCTTGCTCTGGCTGAGGGCTGCTGGGAGCAGGGGGTGGGACTTGTTGCATGTGCCCGCCCCCCTGGGCTCTTTACTGCCGGAGCTCCGCTCCTGTGCGCTCCTGCAGGAAATGACCCCTGGTTTTGAGCATGTTTTTATCCTAAGTAAAAAAAAACCCTTTGTGTTTGTGTCCTTTATAAAGTTTATATCTCCGCTACCTGGCATCACATTTTATGACACACACGGCCCAGCCCAGCAAGGTCTCATTTATGTCAGATCCGGCCCTCGTAACAAATGAGTTCGACACCCTTACCCTAGAGCATCCCTGACCAGTGTTTGTCCAGCCGCTTCTTAAAGACGGCCAGTGAGGGGGAGCTCACCACCTCCCCAGGCAGCCAGTTCCACTGCTGAGCTACTCTGTGGATTCTATGATGTGACCAAAATATGATAGTTGCAGTTGAGTCATTTTATCTTCAGGTTTGATTCAATCTAGAACCCACATTTTGTTTAATTCCCATGAAAGGGAGACTATTCCAGCTGCCATAACATGGTGAGGTTGTTGTTCAGTCGCACAGTCGAGTTCGACTCTTCGCAACCCCATGGCCAAGGCCAGGCCTTCCTGTCTTCCGCCGTCCTCTGAAGTTTGCTCAGTTTCATGTCCGTTGCATCTATGACACTGTCTAACCATCTCATCCTTTGCCGTCCCCGTCTTCTTTGACCTTCAATCTTTCCCAGCATCAGGGTCTTTTCCAGTGAGTGCTCCCTTCTCATTTGGTGGCCAAAGTATTTGAGCTTCAGTTTCATTATCTGGCCTTCCAGGGAACAGTCAGGGTTGATTTCTTTGAGGATTGACTGATTTGTTCTTCTTGCAGTCCAAGGGACTCTCAAGAGTCTTCTCCAGCACCATAGTTCAAAAGAATCTATTCTTCGGCGCTCGGCCTTCCTTATCGTCCAACTCTCGCAGCCATACATGACTACTGGGAATACCATTGCTTTGACCATGCGGACTTTTGTTGGCAGGGTGATGTCTCTACTTTTTATCATGCTGTTTAGGTTCGCCATCGCTTTCCTCCCAAGGAGCAGGCGTCTTTTAATTTCATGGCTGCAGTCACAGTCTGCGGTGATCTGGGATCCCAGGAACGTGAAGTCTGTCACTACTTCCACGACTTCCCCTTCTATTTGCCAAGGAGTGATGGGGCCGGATGCCATGATCTTAGTTTTTTTGATGTTGAGCTTCAAGCCCACTTTTGCGCTCTCCTCTTTTACCCTGAGTTTAGGTCCTTTTCGCTTTCTGCCATTAGAGTGGTATCGCCTGCATATCTGAGGTTGTTGATCTTTTCCCCAGCAATCTTAATTCCCGCTTGTGATTCATCCAGGCCAGCATTTCGCATGATGTACTGTGCATAGATATTAAATAAGCCAGGTGACAATATACATCCTTGTCGTACTCCTTTTCCTATGCTAAACCAATTAGTTGTTCCCGCTTCTTGGCCCTTATACAGGTTTCTCAAGAGACATGTGAGGTGGTCTGGTACTCCCATCTCTTTAAGGACCTGCCATAGTTTGTTGTGATCCACACAGTCAAAGGCTTTAGCATAGTCAATGAAGCAGAAGTAGATGTTTTTCTGGTACTGTCTTGCTTTCTCCATAATCCAGCGAATGTTGGCAATCTGATCTCTAGTTCCTCTACCTCTTCGAAACCCAGCTTGTACTCCTGGCAGTTCTCTATCCACGTACTGTTGAAGCCTAGCTTGTAGTATCTTGAGCATGACCTTGCTAGCATGTGATATGAGTGCAATTGTGCGATAGTTTGAACATTCCTTGGCATTGCCCTTCCTTGGGATTGGAATGTATACTGACCTTTTCCAATCCTGTGGCCACTGTTGCATTTTCCAAATTTGCTGGCAAATTGAGTGCCA